CAAGGACTCCCAGCACAGGGCCTAGACCTCCCCTTTTCTCTGGCTTCAAGATTATGTTCAAGACATCCTGGGGCAGAAGTTGGCCGGCGAGGTGCTCTGCGTGATGGTGCTCCGTGTGATCCCTGAGAATCAAGGTCACATCTACATCTGCGAGGACGTGCGCATGGCCCGGGATGTGGCCCTCACCTTGATGCAGCTGGTGGCTGCCAAGATGAGCCTGAATGAGGATCAGTGGAGGACTGTTTCTTGCCGCTTAAGGTATGGCAGCTGGTATGTGGGCGAGGGATGCAGGTCAAGGCATAGAATGGGAGTCAGACTCATCATCCTGGACCCCAAAGGAGTCCTAGAGGTGGCTGAAGGTCCGAGCTTGGTGGGCCCTAGGTCTGACTGTACATCTCTCAGGTTGCAACCATTAACTCTTTCTGTTGTTTCCATCTGAAGAACAGAAGCAAAGTCTCCTGGTCTCCCCTCAAGTTTCCTTACTCAGAAAATATCTGTAGCCAAACGTTCCAAAGCAGGCAGGGATGTGAACATCGCAGACAGCTCAATATTCATTGAGCATATACTGTGTGCTGGGAGTTAAGATAGTAAGCAATACAGGCCAAAAATTCCTACCTGGAAGGAGCTTACATGCTTGTAGGGCTGACAAAACAAAATTAGTAAAATGTGTAGTGCTTTGGAGAAAAATTAATCAGGATTCCGAACAGAGTTGGAAGGGTATCACTTAAACAGTGTAGTCAAGGAAGGCATCACTGAGAAGGGGACATTTGAGAAAAGATCTGAAGGAGGTGAGAAGTGAGCCCTGTGAGTAGAGAAGAGAGTGAGAAGACAGAGTGCTGGACTGTTCTGGAGGGAGCAGTATGTACAAAGGCCCTGGCATGAGGCTTAGTCTGATGTGTTGGAAGAACAACCCGGCGATCACAGGCATTTCCCAAAATGTGCTCAGTGGGTTGGTAGATATTTGCCATGAGAAACGTTTCAAGGAAGGTCAAAGACATTTGGGACATGTGCAGCTGAGCATAGACAAAACTGTTGCTTAACGCCAGACTTCCATCCTCTGCTCTGCGTGTGCATCCAGCTCTTCAAGACTGGCAGAAAGTGTGCAATAAATGTTTCCCAAACTCAGAACCCACTTTTTTTTTTTTCAACATCAGAGCCCACATCTCCTGGAGCATCTGGCAGGACAAGCCCTAGGCAGGCTTTACCAGGTTTTATTACCCAAGATAAAGCTTGGGGAGATGGTGGTCTGCACCACAGCAGATGCTGACAGAAATGGAAGCAATTCCAAGTGAGATCCAAGCATAACAAAGCATGACAGTTGGGAAGGCAAATTCTATTGAGTGTGGGTATGATGGGGGAGTTGGGGCTACCGCGGGGGCTCTTCCTAGACCAGACCTGAGTTGGACCAACAGAGCTGATGCATCTTCTCTGTTTTCCCCTAAAGAGCCAGAAGCGCTATCAGGAAAACATCTTTGGTGCTTTATTTTATTTTTTTTTTTAATAGAGGCATGTTTTTATTTATTTATTTATTTGTTTGTTTGTTTGTTTGTTTTGTTTATACAAGCTCTGGGTACAGTCAGAAGCGCGGGAGGGTGAGAGAATTCACCAGAGCCAGAGCGGGGAGCAGAGCAGGCAGAAGGACCGAAGTACACTGCTGAGGGGAGCAGCGGGCGGCAGGAGAGGTCTGCGCGCCATGTGGGTCTCCGGTGGCCGGGGAGCTGCCGGGGATCGAACTGGTGCCGCAGAGGCCGCGGGCAGCTTCGCAACCCAGCGCTCAACCGCTGCGCCATCTTTGGTGCTTTATTTCCCTATGAGGAAAAGGGTGCGGCAGCAGAGCAGCCCAGTGACATCAGATCTCCCGCAGCCCACATAAGAAGTTGAAGTGCAAGCACGGGATTGAAGGATGGCCACAGCTCTTGATGATCTGCGGTCACAGGAGTGAAGGGAAATTCCGTCTCCGAGTCTCACCTCTTATTTCCCCATCTCCTTGTTCCCCAAATGCTTTACTTGACCTGCTACCAAGTAGCAGCCTGGACTGAGTGGAGCCTCCCCGTTTCCATGGAGACCAAATCTGCTGTGTCAGGCCTGGCAAGTGGGTGTGAGGATGGAACTGTCTGAGCGCACCACCTCGAGTGACCGCCAGGGGGCGATGTCGCCCACTCTGTATATAGCTGCCCCCTGTACAGTTATTTATGCCTTGTATTAAAACCAAACAACAGAACCCAGTCTCTCCCAAGGACCCTTGGGCCTTCCCTGTCTCATTCCCGATGGAGGTTGTTATATGAAAGGCATTTTACTTTAACCACATTGATGTCTTAGGGGTGGGGTGTTACATAGAATGGGGGCTGGTGGTCCTACAACCTGGTCAAACGGGGGTTCCCACCAGGCCACGCTTCTCCCCACATCTGAAAACCCTTGTGGGGTCAGGAGCTGCAGGTCACCCGCGGGGCGTGGCCGCACAGGAAGCCACGGCGGGGCACAGCCCCTGACCCAGCCTGACCTTAGAAGCCAACATCCCTCCCTGGGCCACTAATCATGAGAGTTTGGCCAAAATGATTTGGCACCTGCCCTGGTGAGCTCAGGCTGCCTTTCAGACTTGGCAGCAGTGAGGGAAATCATTTCTCTTGGGGGCGGAGCCACATCTATTCCCAGAGAGAGCAGGGAGGACTCAGCAGGGCTGGGGTGCTGGTCAGCTCAATCTGGTCCCAGCTTGGGGTGGCCCCTGCTCCCCTGGCCCTTTCTCCCCTTCTCTGCCTCTCCCTCCCTCCTCTCCTGCCTCCCTCATCTCAGTCCCTCCCTTGCTCCTCACCTGCCCTCTTGCTCTCCTCTCCCTCCATCCTCCCTCTCCCCCCTTCTCCTCCCCTGCTCCCTTCTCCCCCTTACCTCCTGCCTGTAGCTGCTCCCCTGGAGCAGGCAGGGTGGGTGAGAAAGGAGTTTGTCAGTCTCTGATGTCCTGGCAAAGCCTCTGAGCACCACTGCCAAGAACAGCCACCAGGACCTGTGCCCTGCCATGGTCCCAGGTGCACAGATGCCAGGATCTGGGATCTCGCTGTGGGTCTGCTACTCCTAGGCAGCCTATTCGGCCGCCATTTTGTCATCTATAGTTCTAAATCCTAAACAAGCTCAAATGTCCCAGCCAGTTAGGCACAGGAGCCCAACCCTTTGGAGTGCCCTTCAAATCAAAGAGCACAAAGCTGGATCACACTGGAAAGGTTACGCATCACGAGGCATGTCCGGAGTGCCTGCGGGGGATGTATAACAAGAGACCCCAGAAGCTGATCAGTGGATGCCTTGTTGATAAGATTAAAACCAGGGTGGGGAATTTAGGGTGTGATCTCAATGAGAACACTAAGTCGTCAAGCAGGTAAGAGCCTGGGGGCACACTCACAATCCCTAATCTTCTACACCCTTCCCCTTTCTTTAATTTCCTCCCCCTTAATCTGCTTTTGCTCCTGCACCCTTACAGCAATGCTGTGTATGAATGAAAAGGCCAGGATCTTGCTCTTCAGCAGAATCCTGCATTGTGTAGCCTGCTCCACGACTGCCATTTCTTTGTCAGTGTGGTGTTGCCTGACACAACATATCACTACCCTGTAGACAGACAAAGAGGGGCTGTGGCAGGGCTGGGACTCTGCATTGCTAGTGGGCTGCCAGGACTGGGCTTTGCGCCCCCAACTCCCCTGGCGCTAGATCTTGCTGGCATGGCAGGATGAGTTGGCATCACCCAGACACAGAGCCAGGCCCCCTGCATGGCCCAGTGACTGGCAGGCCCCCCACCACTGAGCCACTCCCACCACCCCTAGGCCCCAGTGCAGGAACCCTCTTGAGACAGGGCAAGCTAGGGCTATTAGGCAGTTTTAGGACAGTGCAAGAGGGGACCTTTGAAGAATTCAGGAAGGCTTCAGAGATAAGGACAAGCAAGGAAATGAAACCAATTCCACTGGGAAAAACAAACATCCCAGCACCACAGATAATCTTGTTAAGGATGGTCCTGGTTTTCTTCAGATGATAAGATAAAGTGTAAAGATGCTCACCGGGAGGGCTAGACCATAAAGATAAAGATGTAACAAATGGGGAAAGACAGACCTGTTAGATAAGGAATGTGAAGATCCCCCACTCAGTAGCAAATTAAGTGAGACAGCCAAAAACTGACCAATCACAAAGAGACTGGTAGAGCTTTAGAATAATCAGGGAAAGAAAGTATATATTCCCTGAGACACGACTTCACTTTGGCTTCCTTGCCCCTCCCAGGCCTGGTTCCCTGGCCTGGGAGTCCCACTTTATTTCTGTTCTTTTTCTTCTCAATAAACTTTTTCTACACAAACCTGCCTCTTCTCGCTTGCTTGCCTGAGTGTCTGCGAAGTTCCTGCTGTGGCTTCCTGAGACACCAACCCATGGGGGGTCTAGCGGCTGGGACTCAGCACTGCCCTGCAGCCTGGAATCCGTTCCTGGCTGGGAGACTAGGCCTGACAATTCCGGCATCACTCTTAACACAGACAGGCCTCTTCTGAGTTACCCTCTCCCAACCCTACCTGCTGCCTCCTCCCACTCAGACATGGGGAACCGGAGGAAGGAGGGTTCGGGACCATCTCAGAAGCATCAGTGTTTCCTCTGTTCACCTGTCACCAAGCCTCCCCAACAGAGCTCCCTGCCCCAATGGAGCTGGCCTGTCTCTTCACACCTTGGGGGATTTGTGGGGGATCCATGGGAGCAGGTGGGGCTATCTGGACACTCCTGATCAAAGTGAAGCAAGGAGCAAACTTTCCCTCCACGGCCCTTGGCCAGGACACCCTCCCCCTAATTCCAGAGATGCCAAAATGTCCCCTCACATTGAATAAGCCACACCATCCCAGGCCTGTGCCAAGCGTTTTCTTTATTTGAGGGACATGGGAAGGCGGGGGAGGGGAGGGGGGTCCGAGGGCTCTGGGACAGAGGAGGTGCTGGTGAGCAGACCGAGACAGCAGCACCCCAGATTTCACCGCCAGGGTCAGGGATCCTGCCTATGTCTGCACCTGGGTCAGCTGGATGTCACCCCCCACTTCCAGGGTGTCGATGGCCCACAGGTCATTCACACGGTGCTTGTATTCACACAGGTGCTGACCGTTCACTGCCACCTTCAAGCAGCCGCTTTCACACACGATCCACACCTGGGCAGAGAGGCCGTCGTTGGCGCCCCGCTTGGGAAGTCCTCAGCGCTAAGCGCAGGCTCCTGTGTCCTCACCCCAGCAACCGCTTCCTCAAGCCTCCCTTCAGCCCCAACCCGCTTTCTAGCCTCACACAAGGATTCGCTCCTCACTGAGCTCTTGCCCTCAACTTCCCAGGCCTCACCACGCTGTGTCCCTCGCCAAGGTCGCCCTTCCTGCCCTGCACACATGGGGGCACTGGGAACCCCCTGGGGGATTCACAGCCCTTCCAGGCAAGCCTTCCCTGCCTTTCCTGCCTCCTCACTGCCTCCCAGTCCAGCCGTGCTCCTCCCAGGCCTGTCCTGCCCTCCTCCCTCTCCTGCTAGACCTTGACCCACCGGGGCTCAAGCCATCCGTGCTCAGAGCCGGCGCTGCCATGTCCGGAGGTACCAGGTCCACCCCAACACTCCCTCAGGGTGGCTGGGCCCCGCTGCGGGGCAGGGCTCAGTCTGTCACAAGCGCCACCTCATTTCACCCTAATAACGGGCTCTATGGCCAGCGGCCCCAGTCGTTTTTTCGAGGAGGAAATTGAGCCCAGAGCAGTGAAGCCACCTGCTCAAGGTCACACAGCTCCCTAGACTCAAGCTGGGGCGCTCTGGCTTGAAACACCCCAACAGACTGTGAACATCCAAGCTCCTTCCCTGGTCCTCGAGGCCCACACAGTCCTTTTCAAGGCTGGGCAGAAAACTAGGGCATGTTTTCAAACGCAGATGCCCAGACCCTTCCTTCTTTGGCCGGGGACCAGGTCAGGCATTGATTTTTCTTTTTTAAACTCTGCAGGTATTTGAGTGTGTGGTCAGGGCTGAGACACCAGCCCCGTGTGAGGGGCCTCCAGTGACACCCCCAACCCTTCCCCCTCTCTCCCCTGCAGCCCTGCCTCCCTGATCCCAGAGAGCCCAGGCTCGGGGCTCTGCACATGGGACCTGCCGCTTCCACCCACTGAGAAGGTGCCCTCAGGCCTTTGCTTGGCTCAGTCCTTCTGCCATTGAGGTCTCAACTGAACTGTGGCACCCGTGCCAGCCGGCAGTCCACAGGCCAGGCAGGTGCCTCGGCCAGGCAGGTGCCTAGGCCACGGGCTGCGCCCCCCCTGCTCCTGTGCTGCTCTCTGCATGGCGCCTGTTGTGCCTGCAGGGAGCTGCCCCCACCCTTGCTGGTTCTTCCTCCACCTAAACTGTAACCTCAGCAGGGGCAGGGCCGCCTGAACTTCCTGCTGTGCCCCAGCCCCTGGCTACTCTGCGCAGAGGGGCCCTCAGTCCCAGAGCAGATGAGGGATTGTTGGGTGAGGAAAAGCATGACGCCTCCTTCTGGATGTGTTGGGTCACTTTGGGGCTCCATGAGCGGAGGCAAGTAACCTGCACTTGTGAGTTTATTTCCTCACCTGTGAAAGGGAGCCAGCACCGCCCACCATCTGTGGGAAATACTTAGAACAGAATCTGTTGCCCACTTTCTCTTCAGGGTCCAGACCTCACCTCAGAGGCATCAGCTCAAACCAATAAAAGAACCCCCAATCCCCATGTCCTTCAGCCCCAAGGGAGCTCCTCTGAGTCTAGGCTTTGGGACCTTACCTGGAAGCCTTGGCCACGGGTGAAGGGCATTTTTTGGGGCAGGTTTCTCTCCTCAGACCCCCAACAGCTGTTGATCTGGGTGTTTCGGACCACAGCATTTTCATTGAATCGGGGGTTCAGGTGGAAGGCGATGTCACCCCCAGAGCGCAGGTTGATGTAGAAACTGGGGTGAGGTGGGGAACTCACATGGACCTCCTCAGCCTACTGGGCCTCCCCAGCCAGCCCAGAGCCTTGGGGATAGCCAGAATAGCGGGGTGCCTCCTCCGGGAGAGGCCTGGCTTACCTCTGAGCCCTGGGCAGGACACTGCCTGTCATGAAAAGGTTCTTCAATGGGTACAGCCCTCCAGGGATGGCAGCAAAGAAAGGCAGGGTCTAGACAGGGGGAGGGGCTGGGCAGGTCACCAGGGGCAGCCAGAGCCCAGCCCTGCTGCACGGGGCCCTTGGTACCAAGTGTCAGCAGAGTGTCAGCTGAGCTGACTACCACGCCTAGAGTAGTGTGTTTTTGTGGAAGAGTCCATGGTCGCTTTATTTGATTCACTAAATGCTCAAGGAAGTTTGTTCAGCCTTCCTGAAGTCAGGGGGATTAAACTGTCACCAGAGGCACTTTGGCCAGACGCAGAGGGTAGCTGACTGAAGGGGACGGCCTCCCTTCACGGTCAGGGGACATTACAGTTGACAGCACCTGTCAACACTCTCCTTACTTACTGGCTGTTTGAAGAACGTCAGCTGACTGAAGCGCCGCCTTTAATTTTGTGAGGTGCCCTTCACCCCCACGCTGCCCAATGCAAACCAAACCTCCACTCCTCCCAGGGCAACCACTTACGTAAGTTGGGTTGGGGTACACCATAGGTGGCATGATAGCGTTCTGTTGAAAGAGACCAGGAAATCCAGTGTGGGCATGTGTGCCCATGGCCCCCACACAGTCTAGGGGTGCTCCAGTGTGAGCCTGGGGTCCTGAGGCTTCAGCCCTTGAATTCTTCCAACCCCTCCCTCTCATGTCAGCCATGATAGTCCTTCCTGCCCTGTCCTCCAACCCCACTGTGGTCCTCAGCCTCCCCAGCACATCCAACAGGTAGCCCCACTATCCCCAGGCTTCCCACAGGAGAAGGAGAAGCTCCTTCAGCCTGTGACCAGCAGTGACATCTCTGGGACTTATTCTCAGGAGGCAGGGCCATGAATCTCACTTCCAAGGGCCACTGCACCCCCTTTTAAGTGCCAGAAGGACAGGTTTTCCTGCTGGTCCCAAGGAGACCCACCCTTTGGGCTGCTGGGTAAACCCAGACTGTCTGCTGTCCCAAGGAAAGTTGCCCCCGAGTCATGAGCTAAGACCTAACCCAGATGTCCTCACTCTCCTTGCTGCACTGCTTTCTTCCTAACTCTGGGACTAGAAAACCCAGTTCTTACTAAAGCAGTAATGATGGGGCTGAGCTGCCCAGAGCTTCAAGACTTACGGGAAACATCTGTCCAGGGGTGCTGTGCGCGGTTTGGACGACTGTTTGAGTCTAGAATAAAGAACCCGCATTTTAACCAGTTTCACAGGCACCAATGGCAATACCACGAAATGCCACCAGAGGGCAGATGCAGGGCCTCCTCTGGTGGCGCAGCGGGTTGAGTGCTTTTCTGGGAAGCTTCCCACAGCCTCTGCAGAGCTAGTTCCATCCCCAGCCACCTGGGAGGGTCCCGCATGGCTTGCAGACCTCTTCTGCCTCGCCTGCTGCTCCCCTCAGTGATGTATTTCATAAGTCTGCCTGTTCTGTTCCCAACTGTGGCTCTGGTGAATTTTCTCACCCTCCTGCACTTCTGACTGTACCCAGTGCTTGTATAAATAAATAATTTTTTTTTTTTTTAATGAAGAGAGTGAGAGTCAAGGCATAGTGACATCTTCAGGCCCAAGGAGCAAATCTATCATTTCTTCTGGTTTCATAACATCTTTTTTTTTTTTTTTAAAGATTTCTTTATTTATTTGTACAAACACTGGGTACAGTCAGAAGCGCGGGAGGGTGAGAGAATTCACCAGAGCCAGAGTGGGGAGCAGAGCAGGCAGAAGGACCGAAATACACTGCTGAGGGGAGCAGCGGGCGGCAGGAGAGGTCTGCGCGCCATGTGGGACCCTCGCCCGGTGGCCGGGGATCGAACCGGCACTGCAGAGGCTGCGGGCAGCTTCGCAACCCAGCGCTCAACCGCTGCGCCACCGGGGAGGCCCAATAAATAAATCTTTTAAAAAAAAGAAAGAAAGAACGAAACAGGGTGCAGATGCTGGATGGCAAGTGCACCTTGGGCTTGTAACCAAGCCCATCACCAGGACCAGACCCTAAAACGGGCAAATGGGACTATTTCTTCCCTCAAGAAAGCAAGGTCTGGACAAAGTTTCTTCTGGAGAAGAAATTTGGCTGCACTTGTGGCCCCGGCCCATGTTTCCTCTCAGGGGAATTTCCCAGCATGGCCAAGCTTTGTAGGAGGAAGCAAATGTGGGGCCTCGGTTTTCTGTGACTGCAGGCAGGACGGCAGTGGCTTGAGCAAAAAATGTCAATTCAGGATGTTCTCCAATGCACCAGGGCCAGCCATCCCTCTCCCAATTCATGCCCACCACTCCCACCCCCACCTTGGCCAGGCAGGTGGTCAAGGGGTCCTACTTCACTGCCCACTCCCCTCCCCTTGGGGAGGCCTAATACCTGGCCACATGTCCTCCTGCTAACCCACAGGAAGACCCAAAACAAAGAGACTCCAAAAAGAGCAAGAGACTTACAAGAGGACTCCCACAGGCTGCCCACACACCTGCAGACTGAGGGGATAAGAAAAGCAAAATGGTGGTTAATGTTGGAGCCACACGGCAGTACGATAATGCAGAAATTGTGGGCACAGTCCCAGACTATTGTTCATCTTCCTCTTGCTCCTAAGCAATCCTTCCTGGGCCTGTGGCACCCAGAATCTTATTCACCCTGGCAGGTACAGTACGGTTATGAAACGGGGTGGGGATTGTCACGGTTGGAGGAGAGGGCCATCCCCATTGGCTGCTGCAGAGAGGACAATGAGTCTGATGCAGGCCATGTCGCTTGCTCAGCTCCCAGAGGCAAGCACATGGCCCCCAGTGCCGTTTTTCACCCATAAATTGAAGGCTGGTATTTACTGAAGACCTAGTATGTGCCAGGCTCTGACTTCAGCGCTTCATGAGGGAGGAATCCTCAGCTCCTGTTTCACTGGCAAGGCAAGCAGACTCAGAAAGGCTAAGCAAGTTGCCCAAGCTCACCCAAGCAGCAAGTGATAAAATCAAAATGGCATCTGTCCTGTCTGACAATCTCCACCACACCCTGCCCTGCCCTGCCAGCGGCAAAGCCAGGCTGCCTGCAGAGATTCCTGGAGGTCCAGCTGTACCTGACAGACCACAGGAAGGCTAGGGAGAGAGACAGCCCTGCCCCTAGCTCCCACTGCTCGAGTGGCTTAAGGAAGGGTCCAGCCTTTCACCTTCGAGTCCAGGAATCTGACCCCATCCAGCAGACTATTCTGGACGCCTTTCTCCTGGCTGTGCAAACTGCAGTCCACATTTATTTCTTATTTGTGCCGCTATTACTATGTAATGAACAGCCCAAGTCCTAGCCAGAGGCTCCTGGGTGTGGGGAGGAGGAGGTGGTGTGGGGGGACAGACACACAGGCACAGGCACAATGGGACGGGTGATGGCACAGCACAGAGGTGTACAAAGTCCCGCCTGACGGAGGGAGGGGGCATCCAGCCAACTGCCTGGTGGGAGATGCCAGGAATGATATTTAAATAAAACATCTAAATAGAACATTTTAAATAGAGCATTGAAGGGCCATTAGGGGCTTGCTTGTGGGGACTGGGGGTCAAGGCAGGCAAAGGGGGCTTTCAGCATGTACAAAAGTTAAAGGCCAGAGAGAGAGCCTCGGGGGAGCAGGGGAGGCTGCTGGGGGGCCTTTAAGATTTTTAAGCAGGGAGAAGATGTGGTAAGATGTGTCTGGCAGTGGGTGGGTCTGAGGGAGGGAAACTAGACCAAGGTCCTCTGGGGAGGCACCACATGCCCTGGAGCCAGGCAGAGGCTCCAGGAGGGAGAGTGCTGGCCATGGAGAGCCATGGAGGAGGGGAGGGGAGACTCAAGGATGACTCCTCAGTCTCCAGCTCTGGGCTGGGTGGTGTGGCTGAGACAGGGCACCCTTGTGTGACTGGGGTCACTAGTACTTTTAGGACCCTCTGCTGACTGCTGTTGGGGCCTCTGATTATCACTCACTCACTGTTTGTTCCCCCTGGGCCTAGATGAGAAATGAGAAGGCTTTGAGAATTGCACCATGGCGGAGGCAGCTTGGACGGGGCCATGTGGGTGTTCTAAAAACAAAAGGCAGACATCAGGGGGAGAGGGAAGGGGTGTTAGGGGAGCCAAGGAAGAGAGAAAAGGCAGGAGCAGGGGTAAGAGGGAGAGAGCCCGGCAGGCAGAGAGAGCAGACCGCCACACAGGCAGGACAGGACAGGGGAGGTGTGTCCCTGGAGTCACCTGGCTGGAGATTGGCCGGTACCTTCAGCACTGCACCCCCAGCCTGTGCCAGGTGGACGGTATTACCTGGAAGCTGATGTAGGACAGTTGCACGCAACCATTGACACAGAGAGTGTCTGCACGGTGGTAGGGCACGCGGTGTGAGTATTGCAAGAAGAAGCTCCTGTTCACTGTCACCTGCAGAGAAGAGTCACTTGCACAGGAAAGGGGGACACACCCAGCCTCCAGCACCCACCCCTGCCTCTAGACATGAGCACCTGCCTCTGTTTATCACATCTGTCCCCTTAGGGGAGGGCCCCAACCTGCACAGTGTGTCAGGGACATACCCGTGAGCCCAGGTGCGTGGAGACTGCTTGGCTCTAGTTGTTGGCTTTTAGTTCTGTGGTGTTTGTTTATTGCAGGGTTTGTCTTTCTAATAGTAGCTCACCTGGGGGTTATTCAACATGAGCATTTACGTGTGCATGCAAGTATTCACTGGGAACCAAGGAGAGGTGACTTTGGGCTGCCCATTGAGGGGTTGGGAACTTCCATGTTTCTATATACAGATAAACTCGCCCAACTGCCTGAACCCAAGGCCTAACTCTGTTTTTTCTTTTTTTTTTTTTTTAAAGATTTATTTATTTGTTTGTTTGTTTGTTTGTTTATACAAGCACTGGGTACAGTCATTATACAAGCACTGGGTACAGTCAGAAGCACGGGAGGATGAAAGAATTCACCACAGCCAGAGCGGGGAGCAGAGCAGGCAGAAGGACCGAAGTACACTGCTGAGGGGAGCAGCGGGCGGCAGGAGAGGTCTGCGCGCCATGTGGGACCCTCCTGTGGTGGCCGGGGAGCAGCAGGAGATCGAACCGGCGCCGCAGAGGCTGCGGGCAGCTTCGCAACCCCGCGCTCAACCGCTGCGCCACCAGGGAGGCCCTTTTTTTTTTTTTTTTTTTTTATGCATACAAGAACTGGGATGTAGGACACAGATGAGGGGAGTAAAAGGATTCCCCAGAGACAGAATGGGGAGCAGAACAGGCAGATTTATTTACTGAGCACATTTACTAGATACACTGCTGAGGGGAGCTACGGGTGAGACAGGAGAGGTCTGCTGTGTCATGTGGGCCACCTCCCTGGCTGACCAGGGATAAACTCATACTGCAGTGGTTGGCAATATCTTGATAGCGCTGAAACTTAACCACTGTGCCACCAGGGAGGCCCAACTAGTTCTTTCTTTCTGAATGAAAGAGCCAACATGTGCTCCAGGAGGCTGCAGCCATCACTAACACCCTTAAAAAGAAACAGCCTTGATGCTACATATTATTGCTCAACCCAATGCAGTAATGGGAGTTTCTAAAGGTGATTCCCGGAGCCCCAGGGCTGGGGACAGGCAGCAGAAAGGGCAGCAAGATTCCCTGCTTACCTGGAACTCTGAGCTCTGCACCAGGAAGCACAGCTCAAATGGATTTCCCCACTGGAAGGGCATCGGCTTCTTCCTCTCCTCTTGCCCCCAGGACCCATTCTGCTTTGTATTGCTGACCACATACCCTCCATCCTCAAAGCGTGGGTTAAAGTGGAAGGCTATGTCGTTGTCAGAGCTGCCAGTCTGGAAGTTCACATGAAACCTAGGCCCGGGAAACAACTCGGTTGAGGACCAAGGGCCTCTCACCTCTAACTTCAAGAATTTGCCCACTTACCTGCCAGGCAGAGACTAGTTTGTTGACATTCTCTGTTCCACTAGTTACACTTAGTGTTTCTGTGCCCTTATTACATCTTGCCCCTGCAGTGTGACTTTCTGAAAATAAGTGGGAAGTGGGTGAGGAAAAATGTGGATACTACCCATGCGAAGCCTAGGTCTTGGAAACTAATTACAAATTGGAGTCAACATAGGAAGACAACTCTGAGACAGAGAGTACAAAGTTCAACACCACAACTTTTTATGCTTCTGCATAGGCCTGTGTTTGGCCCACAGATGGTAGTAGCCCTGTTAGCCCCTCGTGTGATGCTGGGGATTTGGAGGAACTGAGTAAAGGCACCAGAGATGAAAAGTGCTGGGACTTGCAAAGGATTGAGGCTGGAGAGAAACAAGAGTTCCAGGTACCTGTTTTCGCTGGACTGAGTAACGGTCCCTTTGATAGTGATTTTACGTCCTTCCTGGAGACCCCCTGGGATTAGCCTGCGGAAAGGGACAGCCTGCAGGGAGAAGATGTAGGTCAGTCAGTGGGTCCACCCCCTTCTCTTCCTGCCCTCAGCCTTCAGTGCTTGCTTGGGCTCCCCTGAATGCCTGGCACCTCCCTGGGGGCCTGGTGTGGCTGTGAACAGCACTGAGGGTGTCTGGGCCTTACTGATCTTCCAGGCCCAGGAGGAAGCACATGAGAATCTAGATAGTCATACAGACATTCTGAGATTGTGATGTGGAGACACGGGCTTGGGGACGATGGGACAGAGAGATGGCCTCCCTTGAGAGCATGCAGGAAATGAGGGCTTCCAGGAGGGCCTTCTACTAGGAAGGGAAGGAGCATGCACCCTGTCCTGAGATGTAGGCCCTGGGCCCCCCACCAAGTTCCTGGTAAACACCTGGGGCCTGGACTGGGGCTCAGACGGCCTCAGGGACAAGGGTCCCATCGCCCTATTCAAGAGGATAAACCTTTCTGCTCACCTGGAAGGGCCAAGAAAAAGACACTCTTCCCTGCCCACCCCACCCATAGGACAATGGTGATCATGACCTTTTTACTTTTCCAGCCACTTAGTGGCACCTATTTCCAGATCTTCTCTAGTGTCTCCGCGCGGCCCTGCCTCTCAAAAGAACTCAAGGGAGGGAAAGGAAATAAGTGTGAGCATAGATGAAGCAAGACAGATCATGAGTTAATAATTGTTGAAGTCAGGTGATGCCTATGTATTGTTCATATAATTCTCTCTGCATTTTCCATAGGAACAGTCAAAACAATGTATTTCAAAAAAGAAAAAATACCCAGCAGCCCCAAAAATGTTTTGTAAGATTTCAATACTCCTAAATGGTATCTCCAAATTCTGAAAGACTATATTTAGCTGAGTGTAATTCTTCAGACAAAGTTATTCATTGCAGAAAAAGGATCAAAGCAATCTAAATGCCCACAATCGGAAAAGGGTGAAATAAATTATGGTTTAAATTATGGTGATATAAATCTATTTTACATGCCTTTACTTATTGAGGGATAAAGTATCTCTGGAAGGAGTCAAGGAAATTGATAACACTAGCTGACTCTGATGTGGACATGGTAGGATAAACATTTACTACCTCTACCCCCACCCAAAACATCCACATTCCCATCGCTGGAATCTGAAAATGTTACGACCCCTGGCAAAGGGACTCTGCAAGTGTGAGGAGTGAGGGGTCTTGAGATGGGCCATCTCCCAGCTTCCCGGGGTGGGCCAGTGTAGCCACAGGCTCCTCAGCCTAGGGAGGTGGGAGAGCAGAGTCAGTAGTAGGAGCTGTGACAACAGAGATGGAAGAGGAAGCAGCCTTGAGCCAAGGGAAGCTGGCAGCCACTAGAGGCTGAAAAGGAAAGGAAACAAATTGTCCCCTGAGGCCTCCAGAAGGAGCAGTTCTACTGACACTGACTTTCTTTTCTCACCTATAAAACTGTAAGAGAATGGATTTGAGTTGTTTAAATCTGGCTGGTCATGGCTGCTCTGTGTGTGTGTGTGTGTGTGTGTGTGTGTGTGTGTGTATGAGAGAGAGAGAGAGAGAGAGAGAGAGAGAGAGAGAGAGGGAAAGAGAGGAAAAGACCCAGCACCCATGCTTTTACTGCCACACAGGCTGCCTCTCTTGGGGAGCACAGAGCATCCTCGCTCCTGGCTCACCCAGTGCTCCCCACGACCACAGTGAGTCCTGTCCTGTTTGTAGGTCCAGCTGCCCCTCTGGCCATGGGAGAGGCTGGGCCAGATGAGGCCAGGCCTGAGCTGAGAATGGGCTGAGGCTCCCAAGCCAGAGACCCTAGTGGTGGGGACAGCTCTGCAGAAGATGGCTGGGCCACGTGCCCTTCCTGTCACACTGTGGAGAAAGTGAGGGTCCGATGGGGCCAGTGGTTCACCGGGAGAAGCCCCCCATGTGGGATGGAGTGTCCCAGTGCCCGTGGCAACTGCCCCCATTCTTTCTCTTGTCTGGACTCCAGGGCTTGTTTTAATTCTCTTCTGCCCCCAGGAGGGTTTCCCTAATGATTTGAAGTTTTCGGCCTCGGAGTACAAGGACTAGAAAGAATAAAACATTTATCAAAATAAATGGCATTTTGGGAGGAGCTCTGCAATCCCCCATCTGGAGAGTGTGGTTGCCCAAGGTCACATCCTGAGCCTAAGGCCTCATGGTAGCATTCATCACACCGGGCCCAGCTTCCTCCAGCCCTACCCCAGAAGCCTCCACTAGCTGGTCACAGGGCACCAGCCAGCAGGGAGGGCACAGGCCAAGCGGGGCCCTTGAGGCAGGATCCAGTGCACAGTCTCAGTCACTCCCCCCATTCAGCACCCTGTTGCTGACCATCCAGAAAGGCTCTGGAAGCTCACCTGTCCCGCCCCTGCCCCTTGGAAATCTCTTTGCCAGTCAGACTCCTGCGACAGGCTTGGGCCCACGACACAGTGAACACAGATGCTTCCTGGGCCAGTTGCTGACTTGCTCCATAATTGCTTCCCCCTTGTCCTGGGAGTCAAGACACCTTCCTTCTCTGTCACTTTCCATTGGGGCCTTTTGGCAAGTGACCACAACCTCTCTGATCTCAGCTTTCCCAGGGGTGGAGTGGGGACATGAAGACTCCCTGGGTTTGAGCAAGACACCTGCAGACAAGGTCTACATCTGTTGCAAAAAGAGGCAAAAGGTGACCCTTCTCACCCTCCCTCTCCCCTCACACAGTCCTCTCTCCTCCCTCTGAGATCACCCTGGCCTGCCCTATACACACTAATTCACCCGTCAGGGAGCAGAAACTCCTCAGATGGCCTTCCCTGCTGCCCCCAGACTCCTTAGAATACAAAACAGCGCAACAACCCACAAGGCAGGCAGGTACCTTGCAAACTCTCTAGAAAGGCCTCCTGCTTAGTCCTGATCTCAAGCCGGGGGGTGGCTCCTGGATTATCCCCATTTTACAGATGTGGAAACCCTGGCCAGGGATGCTACAGCCACTTGCCCGAAGTCATCCAGTAAGTGGTTGGTTGAACCCAGGGAAGCCATCTCTAAAGTGAGGGCCCCTGACCCCCAAGGCTGGACTGGCCCCTTCCCCAGAAGCCCTATCACTTTCCCCACCCTGCCAGCCACCATTCTTCCATTTATCACCAAAGCCTGCCTTCCCCAGAGCACCCAGGACAGGACAGACACCCAGAGGGAGATCAGTTGTGCATTAATCAAATGCACAGTTCCAGGTGCTGACCGCACCATCCTCCCCGAAAGGCATTGCTCTGACCCTGGGAACATAACTGTGCCAAGCTTGTCCCAAATGGCTTTCTGTGTTCTCTTTGGGATGTTACCTGCCCCTATGCCTCTCCCTACACACACTTGCTGCCACCCATGAGTTGTTTCCTCAAACATCCAGAACTGCTTCCTACAGCCTAGACAGGCCCACCACTCAGCCAGCACCACCCACCAGCATCATGGAACTCACTGGGTTCTGGTAGGTAACGGGCTGGGCACTGCTGAAAGCCATCTTGTCCTGCTCCTGTGGCCAGCACTGCTTCCCCAGACAGTCCTCTGCACTGGAGAGGACTTAGCCAAGAAATAGAAGCCTAATTGATTTGGCAATTGTTCAGTGGGGAGGAGCCAGAAGCAGGAAGATGTGGATCTAGATATAGCAAAGTGGGGTGCTGGGGGAGGTGCAGTCTCTGGCAGAGAAACCGCTGCCCCCTCCCAGGCCAGAGACCCTTCCTGCCTGTTCCACACCCTGAGACCTAATAATTCATTCTTACAGGTCCAAAGAGCCTGCCCCTACCGATGACTGCCCTACATGTGACTGTGTCCTGAGCTTGCTGGGTCACAGTGTCCAGAAAATGGCAGGCCTGCTTGAAAGGGCCTTTGTCCCTGGGTTGCTGGTACATGGGGTGGTGCTGGTGTTGCTGGGGGAAGGCCTGGTTAGATCCATTTTTATTCACAGAGAAACTGAGGCTCAGAGAGCCTAAGGGACATGACCAAGGCCACGTAGCTCACCACCAGTAGCCTGAGTTATATGAGGATTCTTAGGTCCTCACAGAGTATTTCTCCCTTTAAAATTCCATTCCTTATGTAAAAACATAATCATACAGACACCAGAAATGTTTTGCAGAGAGAAAATGTCCTAATCAGCTTTTGTTCCAAGAGCACAGGCTGCCCTGGGGACTCTGACCCTCCTCACTGAGTGTGTCTTTCTTCTCTTGTCTCTCCTTCTTTTCTGGGCTTGAGAATGCACGTGAAGAATATTCCAGGTGACAGGGCAGTCAGGGAAACATGAGCCACACCGCCTTTAATTGACTTCAGCACCTAGTTAAGGGAAATGCTGGTGTGCACAGACAGCAGAGTGGGCTGGGTAGGGGAGGCAGAGGGGCGGGGCGCTGATGTAAGCTTCCCTGCCACCACCAGGTCCCTGCAGTGAGGAGGCACAGAGGTGACCCTGCGAAGACCAGGGAAGGCCAAGCGGGTAGAGTGTTCCCTGGGCCATGCATCCCTGCCCCCTCTGCCTTCTTCCACCTTCCCTAGAAGTGGCAGACTCTGCAGAGACCAACCTCTTTGACGTGTACACACAGACCACAGCCACTGTCCCCTGTGAACCCCCTCCCTCCCCACTATGTTCTTGGGTCAGAACTTGACCTGACTGACCGGGAAGAAGGCAGGGTTGGAGCAGCCAGGGGTATTGCTAGCTCTGTTAGCTGACTCCGGCGCTGCTCCCCCTTCTTCCTTCCTACCCTACTCTGTGCTCTCAGGGAGCAAAATCCCTTTTTGTTCTCTGCAAGCATCTCCAGGAAAGGAACCATATTTACTGACACCAGAGGTTGACTAAAGAATCCAAGTATCTGGGCCTCCCCAGTAGCGCAGGCAGTTGAGCGCTGCCCTATGAAGCTGTCTGCAGCCTCTGCAGCACCGGTTTGATCCCTGCCAGACGGTAAGGGTCCCACATGGTGCTGTAGACCTCTCCTGCCTCCCCCGCTGCTCCCCTCAGCAGTGCATTTCTTCAGTCTGCCTCTTCTGTTCCCTGCTCTGTCTCTGGTGAATCCTCTCACGCTACCGCGCATCTGGCCTGTACCCCGGTTCTTGTATAAATAAATAAATTTAAAAAAAAAATCCAAGAATCTGAGACGTGCCCAGGGCCATGCAGAGTCAGGATGAAAACCAGGGCAGCCTGGCTCCTGGGTCTGTGTGCCTCCCCCCACCTGACAGCCCCTCCTTTTTGTGGGAGACCTCTGATCGAAATTAAGCGAGGACCCCCAGCCACTGTCCAGCTGAGCTGTGTCCAATAGGGCTCATGCTCCTAGTCCAAGTGCTGGTGATCTATTGCTGCTTGAATATTCTAAAACTTCGTGACTTAAAACATTAACAACATGGGCCTCCCTGATGGCACATGGGGTTAAATCTCAGCACTATGAAGCTCTCAGTAGCCACTGCAGGACGAGTTCTATCCCTGCCCAAGGAGCTGACCCACATGGCAAGGCAGACCTCTCCTGTCTCACCTGCTACTCCCCTCAGCAGTGTATTTCAGTGAATCCACCTGTTCCACTCCCCGCTCTGTCTCTGGTGAATCCTCTCACCCCCTGCACCTCTGGCCTAATCACCAACACTTACATGCATAAATAAATAAATTTTTTTAAAAAATAATAAAACCGCCAGGGGTTAAGCACAGCATTTTGAAGCTATCCGTAGCCTCTGCAGCAAGAGTTTCATCCCTGGTCAGCAGGGAGCTACACACATGGCGCAACAGACCTCTACTGTCTCGCCTGCTGTTGCCCTCAGCAGTGTATTTCAGTCAGTCTGCCTGTTCTGCTCCCCGCTCTGTCTCTGGTGAATCCTCTCACCCCCACACCTCTGACCTGTATCCCAGTTGTTTTATGCATAAATAAATAAATCTTTTAAAATAAATAAATAAATATTAGGACACAGGTCTGTGCTGGGGGGTGGCTGCTAGGGCATGAGGCTATGATTAGCTCTGAAATTCCTAGAGAACTTTCATCAGCCTTGAATGGCCATGGGTGGGTGTTAGCATCAATCATCTGGTTCCCCTATAATGCCTCAGTTCTGCTATCCTTTCAAAACTTCCCCTTTCTGTTGGCAAGGCAAGGAAGAAACTGAGCTGTAACCCTATGAACCCCAACCATTTCTTGAACTTAGAGTTAACCCTCCTTTAAGTTAAGTTGGGGGTGGGAGCTGGAAACCTGCGTCCACATCGGATCTAGAGAGAATCACAGGTTGCCGGCATGTTAGGAACATGGAAGATCTGATCTGCTGCCGGAGTCCACTTGGGCTGAGAGAAAGAAGTCCCGGGTCTATGTGTATCTCCCAGGAAGCAGGCCTGGTGTTCCGGGAAGTAAGGAGAGTGGGTCCTCCCACCAGCTTGAGCTTTCACTAGGTGTAAAAGTGGCTCCCAGCATCGTCTGTTTGGTCTTCACGGCAAGACTCCCGCTGTCTTTATCAACCACATCCCGGAGAGGCAGGACCCAGGCCAGGTCACAGCCAATAAGAGGTGGAGAATAGACTCCCCCTTGGTGTCCCCTGGTGTTCATCCCCTTTTTCCCCTCTTTCCTCTGAGTGATTTTTTCCCCCTCCTGGTTTTCTATTATATCCTTGAAGCGTAACAGAGCGCAGCCCCCGAGTTTCAGCCGGGTGCACGAGGCTGCCCTAATGAAAGATGGCTCTGCCAGCGCTGTGGTCTGGGAAAACGACTTAACCTTTAGTGTCCCAGTGTCCGTTCTCCCTTGTAAGGTCAGTGGTGATACGGGGTGAGAACGGAACCGACCAGGGAAGCAGCAGGAGGGTCCGCGAGCTCAGCCCGCGTCGAGTGGGGAGCAGGGCCTGGCGCGCAGCGCATGTTCCATAACATGTCCTCGGCGCTGCGGGGCTGCATGGGAGGGGGCAGCTGTCCGCGGGTGCTGCACACTCTCTGGCCAGACACGGGAAAGAAACCCCAGAGGACGGGTGTGTGGTCACTGGAGCCGGATCCCTCCCATGCTGACCTTTCAAGGGAGCAAGAGGGGAAGAGGAATTCTTCCAGAATTATTGCACCATCACCTCTTGTCCTCTCTGAGAGCTTCAATGCCAAGAGCTGGAAAGGTCTTCAAAAAAACACTCTCATGATATCTTCCTTGTTACAGTAATTGCCTCCCAGAGTCTCGCTTCCTTTGTCTACCCCTTTGCAAAGTGACTTTGCTCTTCCTCTGTCCAAGAGACACATGACTAGTTTCCCTCCTTTGACCTGCTGTGCTCAGCAGATGCAGCACAAGGAACATCCTGTGCTTTCTAGAGCTACGCCTTGAGAGACTATGGGGTTAAATGGTTAAAATGATCACTTTTACTTGTATTTCACTGTGATAAAAGGCAGGAGGAAAGTTATTAAGTTCCATCTTAACTTGTTCACCAAAAGTTCTGCATCTGAAACCTGCCTTCTGTGTGATAAAAGGGAGACCATCACAGGCAGGAGGTGATGCCAGCACAGCCTTTCTTCTTCAGGTCCTCAAAAGAGCTGGAAGAGCCAAGCTCTTTTTTTTTAAAGACTTATTTAGTTATGCATACACGAACTGGGGTGTAATCTGGAGGTACAGAGAGGGTGAGAGTATTCTCCAGAGAGATTGGGGAGCAGAACAGGCAAATTGACTGAAATACACTGCTGAGGGGAGCAGCGGGCCAGACAGGAGAGGTCTGCTGTGCCATGTGGGTAGCTCCCTGGGCAGCCAGGGATCGAACTCCTGTTGCAGTGGCTGACAAAATTTGATAAAGCTGCGTCTTTAACCCCTGTGCCACCAGGGAGGCCTAAGGCTAACTTTGACAGGAATATAATGTTCTTGCTGTGTGACTTGTCATTTGTTTAAAGATTTATTTATATGCATACAAGACCTGGGGTACAGGTCAGAAAGGTGTAGCGGTTGAGAGGATCACCAGAGACAGAGTGGGGAGCAGAACAGGCAGACTGACTGAAATACACTGTTGAGGGGAGCAGTGGGAGAGGCAGGAGAGATCTGCTGTGCCATGTGTTTAGCTCCATGGGCAGATCGAACTCGTGTTGCAGTGGCTGTGGATAGCTTCATAGGTTGCATCTTAACCCCTTTCACCACTAGGGAGGCCCCTGACTTGTCATTTAATGTTGTGTCTTCTGGGGACCTGGTGGTGGGAATCTATGGGGACCACACCTGAGAGGAGAAAGCACAGTGTACAAAAATGAAGAATGATGTAAAATATATATAAAACAAAATTTAAAAATTTAATGTTCTATCTTATCACTGCCTAAGGACATCTTAAGGACCCACAGAAGAAGAGTCCCCACATGGGGCAGCTCTTGTCTGGGAGTCAGCTTCTCACTGGGTGGTCCTCTGGAGGACAGCGGGAGCCACAGGAGGGCCGACACTGTCCTGAAACCAAGGGGGAAAGATAGTTGTCCAGAGCTGTGGTATGTGAATGAGTTGCCTATGTCCCATCCCTGACACTCCCCCCTCCCTTACACTGAAGCTCAGGCATAATGCCTGTCAGGCTTCCA